AGCAGGAAGTGCTCACCAGATATGCCAGGAAACGAAGCCCTTTTGAAGCTTTCACTATGATCAGGTGAGCCTCGGTGGCAGAGACCAGTAGGAGGTCACCACCAGGAGCCAGACCTGCTCAGGGCTAGCTCCATGCAGGAACCTGGCTCGCTCGGGCACAGCTGACAAGCACCCATCTGGAGTGGCTTCTCTGGAAGGAGAGTTCCCGGGCAGGCTTCTCCCCTGGCTTCCTGCCTCCAGGTGGTCTCGTCCCAGGTCCGCATAGCCACACCGTCTGCGGTTCATGGTGAAAACTCGGAGCCAGTACAGTAACCGGGTCTGGTCCTCCGGGTGCTGCTCTGACTTGGCTCTGCGCTCCTCTCCGACGGCAGCTTCGTGTGAATCTCACACCTTTCTGTAGAGTCCCACCTCTTTGCCGGCCTGTCTCACTATGATCTGCCATGATTAGAGTGTCCAGCAGGGACCGAAGCCTTCCCAGCCGTGGTCCTCGAGCTGCCACAGCTGTTTCCCTGTGCAGGTGGCCCTGACCGGCATCGCTGCCAATCGTGACTGCACAGTTTATCCTGCTTCTCATGATCAAACAATTTGTCGTTTATTTGCTATAGACACATGCACTTGCTGGAGAGACAGAGAGAGAGAAAGTGAGAAATCACCCCCCTCCCCCCAGGCGGTGTCCATTCCGCAGTCCCTTCTCCAGTTTCCTCTCAGGATTTTGGGCACACATGCCCGGAGTGAGCTTTAAGCCACTGGGCCCAGGGCTCTAACTGTGCTCAGCATGTGGGAGTCCAGCACCCTAACCACTACAGCACCTGCTAGCTCATAATTTAAAAATCCTCAAGTTGTCCCAGGGTGGTGCACATGCCAGAGAGAGAGGAGGCAAAAGCACCCCCGCTGGGGATGTGTTTACACCTCTGCCCCTTCTGTTCTGGCAGGGTTTGGGGCACGCGTGCATATGCACCCAGCTACGGGGGCTACGGGAGCCAGAATCCGAACCACAGTTGGCCATGTGGAATCCAGCTCCCTTAACCACTGGGCCACGGGGCCAGCCCACTACCCTTCATATTTCAGTCATTTCTGTCCACTCAGGGTGATAAAGCTGTTATTTAGGCGTATTCTTCTATTTCAACCTACTGTTGAGCTTAAACCAGCGGGTCGTCCTGCAGCTCTGGAAACCAGCAGGGTCAGAGGACTGTGCCAGGCTGCTGGGTGGGGGCAGACTCACGTCAGGCCTGTGGTTTACGCCGTGCTGGTCCTTGTGCTCCTGAGCGGCGCGGTCTCAGCAGGTGCACCGGCTCTCAGAACGTTAGGAGGGTTTGAAGACGACGTTTGAGGGGGTGAGAAGGATGATGGATTTCCCACCTGAGGGGAGGCGCTGTCGAGACTTTACCCTGCGTACCTTCCGCTGTCCTTCCTCACCTCTGAACCTGAGAGTCCGGCGATGTCCTTCTCACCCCAAGGACAATGCCAAGATGAATGAGCATTATGCACAACGCGAGGCCTTCGTAAGTGAGAAGGGAGATTAAGTTTTCTGGTTTTCTGTCAGCTAATAGACTTTCATGATTCGTCATCACCATCAGACCTAGGTTACCTTGTAATAGTTATTTATGCAGCATAACGATGACTCTATTAGAATTATTATATATTCATTGTTGACTTGGGGATGAGAAGGCAAGAATCTCTCCATCCTGGCTTTGTGAGGTGTTTCATTTTGAAGTTCTTAAAGAATATCTGTTTTTAGGGAGTACTTTAATTATAGAAAACTTAACATATTTTATAGACAGTAGATATATAGGGCACCAACATTATCCCAAGAATGTATTTTAGATATGAGGCTAGAATATCTTTTTCTGTGGAAAGCCATTAAACTATAGTCATAAGGAAAGAAAAAACTTAAAAGTTTGTATACCTGTAAAACAAAGTTTTAAATTAACTTTCAGTTTATATTTCTATAAAGGAATATTCAATTCTTCTGCTTTTAAAACTCAGAGGAGCACGTGTAGCTCTTCTTGCAGCCGAGAGAGAATAACAGGGACTAGATTTGTTCTCCTCCCTGCAAACAGTTCAAACAAAAGGCAAAGCAGTGGTTTTCAGATGCTCGCGGTCAGGCGTGGAAGGTCAGAGATTCTTGGAGAGAGGAGCCAGAACACGGAGCCTCCCCGTTGCCCCGTTTGCTGAGGGTGTCTCTGCCACGCAGTGAAGGAGGGCCTAGGCCCAGGCCCAGGCCCAGGTCCAGGCCCCGCTCCAGCTCCACAGATCCTCGAGGTGAGGAAGTGGAACTCGGAGTCAGGCAGACCAACGTGAGTGGGGTTCACGGGGCAGTGTTCTAGAGGGCATGGAGTTTTACGTGGCTGAAGTAGCTGGATCCCACCTGGTGATTCGAATCCTGAACCGAGGCCTAGGAAACATGCTGGGAAAAGAAGGGCTGTCCACTGTAAAGACATTGATGATTAATGTTCATTAATTAATTTAAAAAGAAACATGCAGGGCACGTGTGCATGCATGCCCAAAATCCTGAGAGGAAACTAGAGAAGGGATTGCGGGGTGGCCATCCCCCGGGGGGTAATTTCTCCTTCCCCTGTCGCTCCAGCAAGCACACACACCCTAGAGCAAAGAAAAAAGGGTCGTGCAGAAAGAGGACTGTGGATACGTGCAGGGCCCCCTTGACTAGTCTCAGTATGTGAGGAGCTACCCAGGGCTTGGTAACAAACTGCGAGAGAACTGGAAGGAGCAGTGCCTGGCACTCACTAAGGGCCACGAGGAGCAGCTGTCCCCACCAACCAGACCGGGAGTTGCTAACACGCAGGGCCGAGGGGAGAGCTCTCAGTCAGACCGCCTCAACAGAGAGGAGTCAGGGACCCTAGACTAGCTCCACTCCGGACCCGCCTACCCTTCAGACCGAGACTTGAGAGCATCAGACCATTGCCGCGCTACTTAAATATGTCCTAGAAAAAGGCACAAGAATATTTACGAGAATACAGGACTATCTGGGTGGCACAGTGGTGGCGCGGTGCACTTCGAGGCTCACCCACAGGGGACTGTTCCAGGGCCGCATCCAGGGACCTCCCTGAGCACACAGGCACACTCATGCCCACAAAATCCTGAGAGGAAACTAGAGAAGGGATTGCGGGGTGGCCATCCCCCGGGGGGTAATTTCTCCTTCCCCTGTCGCTCCAGCAAGCACACACACCCTAGAGCAAAGAAAAAAGGGTCGTGCAGAAAGAGGACTGTGGATACGTGCAGGGCCCCCTTGACTAGTCTCAGTATGTGAGGAGCTACCCAGGGCTTGGTAACAAACTGCGAGAGAACTGGAAGGAGCAGTGCCTGGCACTCACTAAGGGCCACGAGGAGCAGCTGTCCCCACCAACCAGACCGGGAGTTGCTAACACGCAGGGCCGAGGGGAGAGCTCTCAGTCAGACCGCCTCAACAGAGAGGAGTCAGGGACCCTAGACTAGCTCCACTCCGGACCCGCCTACCCTTCAGACCGAGACTTGAGAGCATCAGACCATTGCCGCGCTACTTAAATATGTCCTAGAAAAAGGCACAAGAATATTTACGAGAATACAGGACTATCTGGGTGGCACAGTGGTGGCGCGGTGCACTTCGAGGCTCACCCACAGGGGACTGTTCCAGGGCCGCATCCAGGGACCTCCCTGAGCACACAGGCACACTCATGCCCACGATCAGAGCACCTGCTGCTGGTGGTGATCACGGCATGAAGGCCCTGTCGGGGTGCCTCGTCTGTCTGTCGCTCACTTGCTCATGGAAGAAGGAAATGGACTTTTAAATGGTATCTGTAGCATCGAACAGAATCCGTTGTTTCGGGCGCACGAGCTAAGATTACCAGGTATGCA